TTGAAAATAACTAACGACGCCCACTTCCCCAATTTGGAAGGTTGGTCTTATCAGACCCAGCATTATTAGCAGACGTTGCGATACCCGCAAATGATGGAAAATCTCTGGTACTATTTGTATCTGGATGAGCTTTTTCCCATGGTGCACCATTACCCATAACAAATCCGGCACCTCCTTGCGAGTTATGATTTCCATTGGGAACAGATTGGCTTTCAGTTTTTGGTTTCAAGCTTGCTCTTGCTTCATTCTCTACCAAATCATCCAACTATAAAACAAAATAAAAAACAATATAACATAAATATATTACCATGATACTATTCATTATTCCAGCCCATACAGAAAATTAAAATATAATCTGAATAAAATATAAAATAAAAACAATTACATAGTCTTGTTGAATCATTTCTAAATAATCCATACAATCCAAAACATCATCCTGGGTGGCATCTTCTCGGGCATATACAACAACCAAATCTGGATTAGAACTATCAGATTTTGAAAATCTTATATCAACATGATATTTATCCATAATTTGTGAAATATTACGTCCACGAAAACCAATCAATCTTGAATGAATTCTGCTATCAATGTAAATTTCTTCCTTGTAAACGTTTTTCTAAATAAAAMATTGAAAAATGWAATTTGCTTACAATAMAAATGTATATCACAAACATCAATCAGTTTTAAAACCATAAAAAATACAACTTACAAGTTTATCAACCATTTCTTGAATTTCATCTCTTGCTGATTCAGCACTTTTTTGGTAACCAACAACTGTCACTATGTTTTCGTTGTTTCCTTCACCTCTTCTAGGCAGATTAACTTGAACACCATATTTGTTACGTAAGTTACGAACAGTGTCTCCTTTTTTACCAATTATCATGGGATGGAATTCTGGTTCAATAGTCATCTAAAATTATAACATTAAACGTCAATATAATTAGTGATTATTATTACTGATCTTAACTTATTGATTTGTTACAAGTACTTTTCAGTTAAGTGACAAAACTCTATCAGACACTAAGATTTAAAATAAACAAGAATGATCCCCCTGAAATAAGAAAAAGTAAAAACAAATGCAATGTTTGGTATATAGTAACACTTTGATTAATTATCACTCCGTTATCGGTCGTYAACAAAGAAAACGAAAATTTAAACTTGGCAAATGCGTTACATTTTAATCAATAACAGCATTTTACTATACTATCATTGTTAAGAGTAAAAATAAGCTACAAAGATTGTACCCATAAATCCTGATTAATTACTACTAGACAATTAACTTTACATAATATATTATACTATACTCTTTTTAAAATAAAAAAGTATCAAGGGGAGAGGGCTGAACAAAAACATTTTTACCATAAACCATACTACCTATAGCTCTACATCAGTAGCCATAGATAGACAGTTGGCAGATATCAACATGTTATTACTAATACAATCATTCATCAATTAAGAAACATAAAACACCCAATCACAACTATTAAAAGTTATTAATTGGCATTTTTTTTTTATGTAGAAATCATAATAACAATTGAAATAATGAAAATACCTGAATTTCATATGAACGTAGTTGTCTATCTTCTTTATCAGCATCATATAACCTCATTTCTTCTTTAATGGCTGCAACTACTTCATCAATATCTTTTTGAACTCCAGTAATCTAAATCACAAAAAGAAATAGTTCTAATATTATTTTTAACTTGAAATATCTGTTAAAATCACTGTTCAGTTACTGAAATAAAAAATTAGTACATAATTAAATAAATATTAAATAAATAATAATTAAACAAATAAGTGCATTAATTCAACTTTAAAGTCACAACTTTCTTAATTTTTGATTTTGATTATGTATGGGATATATACATTTTTTTCAGCCAATATATGTGTTGATAAATTAATAAGATATATTTATCAATGAGATTATATAAATTAACATTATATTATAATATATAATAATTGATTAAATAATTACCTTTATAATATCAGCATTTTGCTCTTGGTTTGGAACTTTAATCTGAACGTTATAATCATCACTAAGCTTCCGGATTGTGGCACCCTTAGAACCAATCAATGATCTATGATATTCTGATGGTACATTTAACTAAAAACATATTTAAAAATAAAAATTAAATAGAACGTTATGACTTATGATAATGAATATTATGCATGTTTAATTTTAAACAACTTTCAATAATAATAACTTACGTCAATAGTTTTTGGTATATTATCAATTAATATTTGTTTAGCACTTTCACAATTTTCAGGTTTACCAAAGATTGTAACTATGTCGTTGACACTAGGAGCACGATTTTCATCAGTATCTTCTACAACATTAACATCCTCTTGCTCACGATTATACTGATCTTCTATTAATCAAAAAATGTATTAAATAAAATATACATTTAACTGTTATAAAAAGTATTTTCATCAACATACAGTTTCATCATTATTAATTATTTACAATAAAATAAATATATATTCGATATAATTACCAGGTGGTCTTTCAGGAAACTTAATCCAAACATCTAAATCTCGTCTCATACCTTCCAATAAATCTCGGTTTCTCATTAAAACTCTATGCATCCTTTGAGGTATGATTACTTCAACAGTAATACGTTGTTCCTGAAAAAAAAAAATGTCTAAACTAATGAACAAAAACTTATAATAATTGAACAATTAATTACCAAGTCAGTGACTATATTATTAATTTTATTTTTGACTTTTTCAACAAAATCTTTGTGACCTTTAATCAAAACTTCACTAGAATTTGAATTAACTTGAGGGAATGTTACAGTAACTCCATTATATTCTGCACTAATTTGATTAATAACTTCAGCTCGACGAGCAACAAAATGTCGATGATGTTTGGGAGGAACACTCATAGTAATTTCAATAATATTTTCCTAAAAATTAATTTGAACAAAATTTAAAGATTTTATCATCTAACTAAAAAATTGTTACTCATGCAATTATCATTTGAGTAATGCTTACCAAATCCTTAACAATCGCTTCAATTTTACGCTTAGCTTCTTCAGCATTTGTTTTGTCGCCCTTGATTATAACAACATCATCATTAGATGCTAGTTTAGGGAATGTTATAGATACTCCATTACAATCATCAATGATTCTATTAATAATTTCACCACGCCTTGCAACAAAGTGACGATGATACTTAGGATCAACATTAACTTCAACTTGAATTGTATTTTCCTAAATAAAATAAYAAAAAGTATTTTAGAATAATAATATATATATTGATAAACAATTTAAATTGTATACATACCAAAACTTTAGCATGATCTAAAAGTCTTTGCTTAGCAATAGCAACATTGGCTTTGCTACCTTTAAGTACAACTTTATCTCCGCCTCCAGGTTTGGGGAATGATATTTTTACACCACCACATTCTTCTTCCAACTTATGTAAAAATTCACCACGTTTAGCCACAAAACTTTTATGATATTTTTCATTTATTTCTACACGGTCTTCAATAACATTACTGATATCAGTTATCATAGCTTCAAATTCTAATTTTGCCTTGTCTACATTTTCTTTTTTACCAACAATAGTTATATTTTCATTAACCGAATCAGTTTCAGGTGGGAATATTATTCTCGTRTTYGTTAAATCTCGGATCTGTAACCAAATAAATAGTAATGAAAATTAACAAATATTTATGAATATGATAATTTTAACAACATACTCTTTTAACATTAGCTCGTTTTTTTCCAATCAAATATTTGTGAAATTCTGGCTTCACTTTGAGATCAATAACTGAATTGTGAACTTCATCTACCATTGTCTGAATTTGTGTAATAGCACTATCTACATCATCTTCTGGTCCTTTGATAACTATAGTCTATAAATTTAATTAAATAATTTAAATAAATATATTTTTTATAAAGTATTACATTTAAATTCAATAAATTATTAAATTTTATGCTAAATGT